GATGGTTGTGGCTCGCTTTCAGATCTGTGAACACACTGAATTTGCACACACGTGAATGAAATTGATATTGTATAACTAACCTTATATCTACATCAATATTAAAAGGTTTATCAATGGTCTTTTTACGGGTTCTTCTTTCTGGTGATGGAAAGTTTAATTGCTTCTCCCTATTATACCTAAACAGTGTAGGTCCATTTTCTTTTTTACCATCCACAAAATGACAACTACATAAGTATGCACCAAGACCTGGTTCAACTGTTCTCCTGCAATCAAAACAATACATGTATTACTTTTATTGTATTCAATTGTACGTTTCGCATGTTCCTAACAAATGATAATTCCAGTATGGTCTTTGTGGTGTTACCTTGTAAGTTTTATCCAATGATTCCTTGTTTTTGGATCTTTGGGAAACCTGAACATCTTACGTGTTTCTCTAACATTATACTGCTTACAGTCGGGTGCCCAGCATTGCACCATTTTCTGTAATAAATAGTAACAATAAGACAAAAGTTCAATTTGAAAATATCCTATCAAAAAACGGTAGCTTATATGAATAGCAATGATATCTAAATACAGCATTTTTCATAAGCAAGATACCCACACATTAGCGGATCGCTTAGTTACATACCTGCTTGTAAACTAACGGCCTTATTTTCAACAAAAATTGTTTTAAAACTCCACTTTAACCACTTGATACGGAAGAAGTTTTCTCAAGGTGTTTATGTTTACTTTTTTTTTAGTTTTACGGATTTCCTTACTATGATATTTAGGAATTAACTTTCAGAATCTTAATTTTTCTTTTCATTATGTTCATTATCACAATAGGGAATTATTGAATTTTAATTTTAAAGAAAACAGTATTACATTTTATTTTCCAGGTTAGAAAAAATTACCTATGACAATGACATTGACATTACAAAACAGAAAACATATGAATCAAATTCAAGCGAATAACCAAATGGAAATGGTATTTACCATTTTGGGTTGGTGTTTACCAATCCGTTCAACCGAGTGTAGTTATCAGTTTGGTTATAAGATCCGTGACGTCACGAATTAGCTGTTATAGACGAAAAAGCACCGATTATGAAGTGATAATAAAAATAATCAGAGATTATATACGCGCTTTTCTAAAATAAACAACTTGCAACAAAACCGCGGTTAAAACCAACGCGTTCAAGCGAGCGTGTAACTGACGTCATCAACCCGTGTGTCATCTTGAACCATAATATAACCGCGGCACATAACACAGAAATTTTGGTTATTCGCTTGAATTTGATAATACACTGAAGACGGTATAGTCCAGTGCTATCCATAGACACGGCAGATTTATGTCAGCGTCTAGCGTCATTTTTTTCACATCACATGATTGCCAAACATACGTGACGTTGCTGGCTCCTCATATAAATCTAAGTCTGTGATACAATTTTATAGAGAGCATTAATGCTACATAGAAGATTTTATACCGTCATGTACAGTATTAACAACAACACATGCGACGTTGCCGACATCTCACATAAATCTGAGTCTGTTACACAATTTTATTCAGGATATTTTCAATGCTATATGGAAGATAACAGAAAACATGTAACAGGTGGTAACGGATAACAGGTAACAGGTGGTAACAGATAAAAGATAACAGATGATTTCAGATAACAGAGATGCAGTATGTTTTTCTTCTGAACCTTTCCAGATTGGTAACTAGATATGAGTGAGATTATAACAGCTTGTATTATTGACGTTGCTATTTTAATATACAAAAAAGCACTTATTCGTCAAAATAGCGCAAAATATTAATACCACATTCTGTTAGGTCTCCTATATACCACTAAATTTCTATATAAAAAAGTATAGCAATCTCAGATTTATTCGTGGAGCTGGCAACGTTGCGAGGTATTAATGCACAATCTAGTAACCGTGTTGCACCCTCAAAAAATGACCGCTGACAACCACACAAGTCACCGTGTTGCGTGTTGACATTGAATAGCATGGAATTAAATCTTCTTCAGTGTACATAATCAAATCCAAGCGAATAACCATAATTTCTGTGTTATGTGCCGCGGTTATAATATGGTTCAAGATGACACATGGGTTGATGACGTCAGTTACACGAATCGCTTGAACGCGTTGGTTTTAACCGCGGTTTTGTTGCAATTTGTTTATTTTAGAAAAGCGCGTATATAATCTCTGATTATTTTTATTATCACTTAATAATCGGTGCTTTTTCGTCTACAACTGTATATGGAAAGTTTAAATAAGAAACCTTTCATAATATTCATGAAAGAAATGTTTCTTCAGATTTTTTTTTTAATGATGGAACCATGGCCTCTTAATTTTTCCGCATGTCAAAGAAAACATTTATTGATTCAGCAGAAATGATGAAAAAAGAAATTAGCAAAACCGTATACAGGTGGATATCATGTAGTGAGTTTATATGGCCATATTTTAATATTCTTGTGGTATATGACTACACAGGATTCTTTGTTAAGCATAGGAACTACATTTAGTGTCCCCAACAACCGTAATGAGTATAACTAATAAGGTGCTCCACTTTATGGTAAAACTGAAGTCAGACTGTATCATTTTCCTCAAAAATCAAGCTGAAGTACAATAACAATATCCAATACCTGGCAAAATTCCAACTTGTCACATTTCAAATAATAACCAGAAATATAAAACTACTCTTGAGTTGGGTAAATACCACAATTTTGCGGTGATAACAATAACATATAACAGCTGATTCGTGACGTCACGGATCTTATAACCAAATTGATAATCACACTCGGTTGAACCGATCGGTAAATACCAACCCAAAATGGTAAATACCATTTCCATTTGGTTATCCGCTTGAAATTGATTTATGTTTTATGGAAAAGCGGCTTGATTTTTGACAAATGACAGTTTGGAGTTGACAGGAATGACCAGATGTTATCCTATTACACTACTCCCAGGAAAACTGTCAGGTGGTACCTGAAAGTGTTTTTCCATTTCGTGGACATATGCCTATGGAATGCAACACATTTGTACAACAAATTAAATCGAAAAAGGCTGTCATTTCTTCAGTTTAGAGAGATTATTGTAATTGAGTTCCTGAAACAAGCCCAGGAAAAAGCCAAAACTACCCCAGGGAACCAGCATTATCCAAAAAAACAGGACAAACGGAGAAGATGTAGAGTATGCTCGGCAAACAAAAAGAAATCACAGACTTTTTACGTTTGTGAGATTTGTAAGGATAAAGACGGACAAATGATTGGCCTTTGCGTGGACAATTGTTTCCAGGAATACCACGAAGGCTCTAACTATCTTCTCGAGTGTTTTTTTGGTCCTATGTTTTTCACCAAAGGATTTGATTGTTTCTGTTATGTTTTTTGATATTTAGAATTACTCTCTTTGTATTTTGATACAAATATATTTTGTACTTTGCATATATACTCTTTTGCGATGTCTCATATATGAGACACTTGGTTTATTCTTCGCTCGATCACAAGCTAGGTCGTGTCATAGACCGGCGTCTCATATATGAGTCAGATCAAAAATGCTCCGAAATTTCTCAGAAAGTGTATTCTTAGCTTATAATCATTAATATGTACGTGAAACTCGGTTTATAAATAATAATATCGCAATATAAGAAGTTAGTCTGTGGCAACATACACAATTTTAACCCGTGGTAGCGAACGTGTTAAAGGAATGAACAACTCTGTATGACAGATCCAAAGAAAATAATACAAACCCTTACAGCTACTAACACAAGAAAAAAATTCACTCATTTTTGAACGATATCTACTTCTGTGATTTTCAATAGCCCTTACAAAGATGGGGCTAACAACAACTTATTAACGAACGAACACTTTTCCTACATATTTAAATTGTGTCATTTTTTCTGACTAGATGAAAAAGACGAAATAATGATATGATACGATAAGTTATTGAAATTTAAAATTCTTTGCAATTATCTAAAAGTTAACAGTTGGTATAGAAAATATGGACTGCTAAAAATTAATTACCAATTTCACATTAGTGCTCAATTGGAAGTTACATAGCAGTTGTCCATGGTTAATTGTTTCTTGATCAGACAAACACAAGCAAACTATATTTATTTTATATTTACCTATATTTCTACCTATCAATTTCTCAAAAAAGAAAAGATGTTTTAATTTTTTTTCTTGGAATGTTATATTTATTTTGATTTTGCTTTATTGTCTATTAAATTTTGTTATTGTAATATGTATGTATAGTATGTAAATTGATTTCTATAATGCCCCAATTGTATTTTTTAAGCGTTGGAAGCATTTAACTATACTGCTGTCAACAGTATGAGATACATCTTACCTGGTGTTTCATTCGAAAACATCAATTGTTAGCACTGAAATCTGTTAAACTATAAATTCTCAATAATAGATACCTTCTAATTGTACATCAATTTTTTAGTTTGTACATATCAATTGTTAGCTATAAAATCTGATGAACTGTATTTTTATAACAATAAACATATATAACTGTATGCTATTTTTTTATTTCATTTATCCTTTATGGTTACTATACTTTCAGTTTAGCAAAAAATTCATCAATCAGCTACTTTTAGAATGTAAGAGTTCACTAAATAAAAAATGAAATTTCAAATCTTATCAGGATACAGTCATACTTTATTCTGTGAATTTTTAGTCACATTTATTAAAGAACCTTGAAGGTCGAGTGCTATTTGATGATTAATGTACTGTCTGTGAAAAACAAGAGTTCACCAAATTTGATATCGCATACTCATCATATAAACCAAAATTTAAACATTAATTTTAACACTCGACGAATTCAAAAAATGTAACTAATGGAACTTTTCGAGCATTAAACTTGAGACTTCTTAAACCTTGAATCGCTTATAACTCAAAAATAGCCAATTTTAGAGAAAAAATAATGAAAATCATTTCTGTTCAAAATAATTTACAAGTACCTGACAGAAACATATTTGAGAAAAAGAAAAAACATATTTTATGTAAATTCTTTATTTTCTCATACATTCCATAAGGAGGCGGGCCTGGTACTCCAACAGCCTGACATGGCTGTCTTGCTGACTTTTAAAAAATTTTATCAGAGCATCCATATTATCTGAAAATACAATTTTATTAGATAAATTATTTTCAACTTAACATTAATTAAAACCTACAATTTTCAAGTCGCCTTCTATCATGTTGATGATTTGAATATTGTGTAGGATCTCTTTTAGGATTTGTTTTTTTACCATTACCTGAAATAAACATAAAAAATCATTTTTAGTACGATTATCAAAAAATAAATAGAAAAAATCAATTAACAGACAAAACTTGATACGGTGATTATTAATATAGCATACAAATAACATTGTAACATCTTAACATTAATTAAAACCTACAATTTTCAAGTCGCCTTCTATCATGTTGATGATTTGAATATTGTGTAGGATCTCTTTTAGGATTTGTTTTTTTACCATTACCTAAAATAAACATAAAAAATCATTTATAGTACGATTATCAAAAATAAATAGAAAAAATCAATTAACAGACAAAACTTGATACGGTGATTATTAATATAGCATACAAATAACATTGTAACATCTTAACATTAATTAAAACTTACAATTTTCAAGTCGCCTTCTATCTTGTTGACGACCATACGGATGACTTGAATATCGTTTACCATTTCTTTTAGAATTTGTTTTTTTAGCATCACCTTGAAATAAACATAAAAAACCATTTTTAGTACGATTATCAAAAAATAAATAGAAAAAATCAATTAACAGACAAACTTGGTATGGTGATTATTAATATAGCATACAAATACATTATAACAGTATTTGATACTATGACCCCTAAACTGAAATTCAAACTTTACAGTGCTTATTTAAACGTTTTAAAAATATTTGATTTTTCTTTTTAGTTGTGATGAAAATTACAATTTTAGAAATTTGTATCTATTGGAAGAGAGTCCCAGAAAATTACTAAACATATTAAATTATATCTTTTAATCACAAAACATTTAAAAAGTTATTTGTAAATTATATATACCTTTCCTCTACAATGTTCACAACCACATAACGCAATCATCCAATTCTTGAACAGAACATATTATAAATTTTAAGTCATTTGGTATTAGGTTCTTTACTCTCTATAAATTTAAAATGTAAAAAATAACAATATTAAAGTCAATGACGAAACCAAAATATCAAGCTTGAAGCTTTAAAATTCAGTCAAATTTTGTTTATAGATACTTAAGAACAGATGCTTGTTTATATCTATATATATATATATTATTATATATATATAATAAACAATTACAAAACCACCGACAATTAAACTAATAACAATTTCAAACATAATAGATAATATTTGCTTGAAATTCATTAATATTAGAAATAATAGATTGTACTTACGTTGATCTTCT